GGCTTTTGCATGGAGGTTCATTAGAAGTAACGAGTTGACACAAGGTAAATCTTAATGTTGAGGCGCCTTTCTCTACCGGCCCGGGGAGGAGCCCTCATTAACTGTCGCTAACAACCCGTGTAAATACACTGATTGGACAGCTCCGATACAAGCTCCCAGCCCTGCCAGGAAGTCCCCCTAATGAGACCACACAATAAAAACAATAAAAGAAAGGAGAGAGAGAGAGGGACAGAGGGAGAGGGAGAGAGAGGGAGAGAGAGAGAGATATAGCTATTAAAAACTTTTGCACAGGTTATTATGACAACACTTTCATAAAAATTTAGCATTTCTTCAATCGTCGCGTTTTTTTTCTCTTTCTTTCATTTCAAATGAACGCACTGTTGTGTTTAAGTGTGTGCCTGTGCGCGGAGGAGTGACCTATTGCACCTGCGACTGCAAGAACTAAGTTGGCAACTGTTTACAGTTTTAAGGTGCAGTAACCGACTTAATTGTTTTGGCGCTTGGGGTCATTCAATCACATTCAAAATGACATGCGCAATTTTAGTCTAGAAAAGGTTTGAAAAGGAAAAATAAAACAACACTGCCACAGCAGCAGGGAATAGGCTTTATCTGAGAGCAGGAGAGAATACACTGCAAAAAATATCCAAACACTTCAACCTTAATTCAACCGTATTTTTCCCCCAAACGCGCTGAAATGCTGCCTGTGGCAAAACCGTGATTCCACTAATTTTACGCTCTGCAGGTGTTTTGCAGTGACAAGTGTTAGCATCTAAAAACAAAATAGAATATGTTTAGTAGCTATTTCTCCATTGCAATTAAAAACTGAGCTGTTTCTAAATTGTTATGAAAAAGTTGTAATGGAAACAGATGAAATCATCCCATCCTGTTGCCAGGGGGTCTCACACTTTTTCAGCAAGAAACGCGTATTTTAAAAACTCAGTGCAGCATTAAATGACTTGTTTAGATTGATACTTTTTACAGTGTAGACATGTAGAGTCTCCGTACCCTGGCATGGCCAGCATGGGACGGAGGGGATTGTGCGCCCCGTCCCGACAGCATCACACATCTGCTCTGCAAAGGCACAGATCTCCCGGTGATCGGTGAATAAAAATGGAAAATGCTCCAAATTAAAAACTTGACTTTTGCAATCTTGGAAAAAAATCTAATTACCTTCTTGTTCAAACAGAAAATGCCTGACAAGCATTTCAGTCTTCATTTCATTTTTTTAAAGTGTGGAAAAAAAATTTGTAGTTTAGCGAACATCATAGGCAAGATCGTAGATGGAAACGGGTCTGCTTAGGCAGAACTTACAGGAGCAGCGGTTGGATTTCCGTCTTGATCTTGGACAAATTGACCAGTGAAATAGCAGTGAACCAGTGTCAGGTCCAGTCTCAAGCTCGAATGGTGACAGTCCGTGGACTGGACTCTGCTCACAGCTCTGCAGGGGACGAAGAAGAGCAAGAGGAAAAAACAAGAAAAGGTAACCTCTGGTATGCTTGCTGAAAAAAAAACCCCAGTGAATTCTCACATCATTAAAGTAAAATTCTGTTGATTTCTTGGCATGTGGATGATAATTAAAAGTTCTCATACGTGAAAAAAATAAATACAAGAGTGCACGTTTACATTCATTTAAAACTATAAACAGGCAGCTCAGTTTAAAAGGAATTAAAGAAAACGGAAACCGTGTTTTTTTTGGTACGTACCCATCATTTCTCCAAAGTCGCGTCCTGTGCATTGTTGCGATGAATCCAGGATGGAGCAGCAGGCACATGAGTCTCTCCTGTGTTTGCCAGGGAGGGGTGTGCTGCCTTTTCTGGCCAGCCTCTGCCAAACCGGGGTCAACGAGGGAGCAAAAAATAAAACAAGACCCTTTCTTTCGTGCCTTCTTTCTCTTTCCCTCTTACCTTTTACAGTCAACACCTTTTTCTTTCTTTCTCTCATCCGGTCCTCTTCTCCCTCTCTCACTCCCGTACATGACGTAACATCAGCTTTGTTTATTTGCTCCCCTTATTGGAACAGACTGATAATGAAAATAACTTACTAATTGGCAATTAACCAGTATGGCAACAATTTAGATTCAGTGCATGCTGCAAGACCTGCTTGAGCCAGAGAATAGCAGCATTTATTTAAAGGCAAAAACGAACTTTATTTATAGAAAACTTTTGTAAACAAAGTTTGACTGAGTGTTTTACAGTCAATAAATAAGGTCACACAGGAAGAGAGATGTGGGTGCAGAGCAGACGGCAGGCGTGTCTGTCTGCTTGACCAACATATCCCCAGTGTTTCAGCGCGCAAAATGTTGTTTGTGTTGTCGTGTCTGGAGGTTTAGGCTGTAAGTAAACGGAGAAGACGCTAAATGCTCGATGTGCATTCAGAGCTCTCGTCCCCCGCTGCTCGGAACATTCAGCAAGCCCTCGGATAAACACACAATTACGGCAGGTGAATAAACTTGTTTGGGGGGTGTTAATTACATGCTTAACGTAAACAAAAGCCATGTAAAAGAATGTGAATTACCAGTGGCTTTTTCCCCCTCAATCCCCATTCAGGTTTTACATTTCATCCTCTAGTCTCTTCTAGGAGTGATTTCCGAATTGCCTGCGAGGGCTACTCCCAAACAAGTCTCCTCCAAAACATAATGCTGGATAATACCTGCAGCCTTGGCTTGAATGGTGATCACCTAAATTGTTGCACCAGGAACCCAGTCAGGTAGGGGGGGGGGGGGGCTTTGCATATTCGGAGTAATGCTGCTAAGCCTGCACTTTCAACCTAATGTTGGGGTTGTGCTCGCATGCATGTGTGCGCGCGCGTGTGTGTGAGAGAGAGACACATACATAAGGGGTGGAGGGGTGGGGGTGAGTTTAGGGGGGGGGGGGGGGGGGCGCCTTCAGCTAGGAAGGTTAGTTTTTAACACCAGGCATGAATAATAACCAGCCAGCCTTTACTTCCAGTCCACGGAGCTTTCCAACGGGACCAATTCAAGTGCCACTTGGAATTAGTTCTCCTGAGGTTCGTATAGCAGCGCGTTGGGCAGGTTTGATCCCATATACTACCCTACCCCCCTCACACCGTCGCACAAACACGCGCGCACACAATCCCCAAAGACGCGCACAAAACCCGACGCCTGACCCTGCAACAAGATCATCACCACCCCTGCTCTGTATCACACACACCTGCAGACACAGACACTTCCACAACACGCCTGCACGCACGTACATGCACGAATTTAAGTACCCTCTTTTGCCCAAAACACCGCTGCGTAAAAGCGCGTAAATATGCGTAATTGCATGATCGCACCAGTTGTTGTTAAAAGTATGTCTGATAAGGTTAACTGCATGATGAACATAAACAGGTAGCTATACATGCATGTCATGCTGGTCTACTCACTGTCCCTCCAAGCTTGGAGTCGGTGGTCTATCTGGCCAGCCCCGGAGAATGTGCAAATCTGAGAGAGGGAAGGAAAAGTTTTGAATTCCTGAATGATTTTGTAGAAAGGCGGCTTAGGATCATTATGTCAGCTTTATTGAGGGCGGATTAAGCGGAGTCTAGATGCTACGCCTTGTACACGGCCCTTTCACAATGTGAGCACTGTTCGTGTTAGAGTGAACTCACACTATTTTAACACCCTATAAGCCCTGTCTAAATATGAAGCCGTTTTAGCCATAAACATGAAAATCACACCGCCGTGGCTACCGCTATAAGCCGAATCCTGTGACTGGATGTGGACACTGATCATGTCCTTACCACCAGATCAAATACATGAGAACTGCTTTTATGTCCCCAAGAAGCTTTCATGTTACCATTTGATTGTAATTCCAATACTAATGGCATTAATTAGAGGGCTGGACCGTCAAAAAACCCTGATAAACTGGTGGCATTAACGGGCGATGCCGTTGGCAAATTAGCTGTCGAACTAAAACACCATGACCTTTGTTTAATCAACACAACGCTGCGCATCGATATTCATTTGAAACAATAAATTTTGTTGGTTGGAGAGGAGGCAGCGGGCAGGGGGCCAGGGCTGCGCCCAGCGTCCCAGAGGCAAGGCCGGGGACAGCAGGAGGGGGAGCGGCATCACACTGCGGTCTACACCCGGACCAGCACCCACCCAACACAAAGTGACCACACACACCAGCGAGCCCGAGCAGAGTCCTGCTCAGACCATGTCATAAAATGCAATTTTTTTTAAATCATCGGCAAATCCAGGCAGAAGCCAAAATATTATAGAACTGTGACATAATTTCATCTTTTAGAAAACAAGAAAATGGAAAGTGATAACATATATGAAAAGGAGAAACGCGGAAGACCATAACGCCTTCCTTTCCTTCGCAAAAAAAGAAAAAACTGAATGGACAGATAAAAAAGATTTTAAAAAAAGTAGCTGGGCTACTAGAGGAAAAACTATAGGAAAATAATGTGCAAATTGACCCGCTTCTATTCAAAACGTGTATTCCCGAGTTGCAGTCATTGGTTGTCCATTTGTCACCCATTTAAAGCTCCCTCTGCCTCCCTCCCTCCCTTCCCGTCTCTGCTAAGCATCTCCAGTCTACATATCTTCTTTAGCTTTAACGAGCCTCGTTAAGATCGCAATAATATTCCACCCTCTAATTGCTCATTCCATTCAGCAGATAGGCGAGCATTGGCTTGTGCCTGATGCGCGCGGTGCGGTGGGAGGGTTGCTGTGGAGATCGGAGACTCTGATAACCCCCCGTGCGTGCTGCACAAGTGGTGAAAGCCTCGCGCTACGTACTGGCTAATGATTGGCACGCTTGACAGTGATTGGCAGGGCTGCCATGACAACGCTACAACGACACCAAGAAGACCAATAGAAAAGGGAAACAAAATGTTTCAATGCTACACTCAACGGCGGATTTAGGGGGGAGATATTATGAGGCTGGTGTCATTAGGCGATAGCCATTGAAACATTCAATCTTTTTTACTTGCCGTATTTTTTCGGTTTTTCCTTTTTCTCGATAATTTTCTTTCTCTCTCAGGTCATTTCCATGGTTTTCAGATCCCCTTTAGAGCTTTATCCCTCCCATTTCTTCCTGCCAAACTTCGCTGATCGCCCTCTGCTCCTGGCGAACAGCGCTCCCACCACCAGGTCTCCAGAAGACTTGTCCATGTTTCAGCTACCGACCCTCAACTTCTCCCCGGAGCAGGTGGCGAGCGTCTGCGAGACGCTGGAGGAGACCGGGGACATCGAACGGCTGGGCCGCTTCCTCTGGTCCCTGCCTGTGGCTCCGGGAGCGTGCGAGGCGATCAACAAGCACGAGTCCATCCTGCGCGCCCGGGCCGTGGTGGCGTTCCACACGGGGAATTTCAGAGACCTCTACCACATCCTGGAGAACCACAAGTTCACCAAGGACTCGCACGGCAAACTGCAGGCCATGTGGCTGGAAGCACACTACCAGGAGGCCGAGAAGCTCCGCGGTCGTCCCCTCGGACCGGTCGATAAGTACCGGGTGCGGAAGAAGTTTCCGCTGCCTCGGACCATCTGGGACGGCGAGCAGAAGACGCACTGTTTCAAAGAGCGGACACGGAGCCTGCTGAGGGAGTGGTACCTTCAGGACCCATATCCAAACCCCAGCAAGAAAAGGGAACTGGCTCAAGCCACTGGACTCACTCCTACACAGGTCGGAAACTGGTTTAAAAACCGGAGGCAACGAGACAGAGCCGCGGCAGCCAAAAACAGGTTGGTGATTTTTGGCCTTCCTGTCAAAACACAAGAATGTGCGAAAGTTTGTCTAAATGCATAAATTGAAAAGAAAAATAGCAGCTTTGATAAAACATGTAGTTGTGCTTACGGACAGAGGCTGTGTCGGAGAGAGACGAGTCTGTCTGGCAGGGGGAGGGAGCAGGCTGCGGCGACATTTTTGTTATGAAGTGAAATCAGAATAAACATCGAAAACATCATTTACACTGCTGTAGATATCAGAAAGTAGCTTTTGAAAATTATTAAAGACGTTTTTCTGCATTTAGAAGGCCTTCTAAAACATTTCCGGCAGATATGTAATTCAACTTGGCAGGTATTTTGCACAGAATAGTGAATTATCGGCTAGAGAAAAAACAACTAGTACTGAACTCAAGTTTGATGTTCCAATAACCCTAAATTATACCGAGTAATAAAATGCTAATAATATAAATCATAAACTACATCGCTGTTAAACTACAGAGGCGATTGCGCAGTGTTCTTTTTTTATAGAGAGACAGCTTGTTTATCTTTTCCGTAAGAGTGAAAGTGCTGTAATAATGGACAAAGTGTGGTAAAAGTACACGTATAAACATTACTGGACTTCACTTATTCATAGTATTACTACTATTTTGATGATAATAGTGTGAAAAGCCTAATCATTTATTTTTAATCATTAAAAGGTATAAAATAAACAGGACTGAATAAGTCTTAATATCTATTTAACCTAAAGTTAAATCATTTTATTAGGGCCTTTAAATCATTTTCAAATTGTTCTGTTTTGCACATAATTTAAATAATATTGTGATTGTTACCAAAGCTATGTGTTGATTTATTTAAGCTACACATCTTATAATAGCCACATGTATCATGTGCTGTGGTGCATATCTCATTTTAACATCACATGGAACTTAGCATTGTTGAAAAAGATGATCTCAAAGGATAATAGAGATATTATTGATATTACTTGACTAAAATGAGCATGGGTATTAAAAACCATTTGCAGATATAGGCTGTATTCATAACATTAAGTGTGGTATCATTCCATTGAAATGCTATAATTGATTAGAAAATACCTCGCAGAGTACTAAGCCATATGAACACTATTCTAATCTTTTTGCTAAATGAAGAGATATATTTCCAGACTGACATTTATACGGCCGTGGTTGAGTTATTATCATGAGTGGATTGGAGATAAACATTTAGGATGATTGGAGTAACCTGGAACTCGACGTCACTCATTCATACACTTCCATCAGGCTGAAATACAACTGTGCTAAGGCACCACGGTATTCTGCAATTGCACAAAGGCTTATATATTTTATTTGTATAAATAATAATAATTTGGTTATGAGAGTGCAGAGTCACGGGGCTTTATGGGATAAATAAAACTGTGCAGAAATGAAGAAAAATAATAAATGAAGAGCTGCTGCACGTAAAAGCAGAGTCCAAACCAAAATAGCTCCAGACTTTTGCTGCCATCAAACTGCTTTTAGAAAAATACAACAAGTTGGATTTAAAGCTTATTTTTTCTGTTGTGGTATGATACGTAATTTAAATGCCGGATTGCTGACTTGCGCGTTGATCAGTCTTACTTTTGTAGTAAAAACAAAACAAAACAAAACAAAAAACCCATTACATTTCTTCCAACATTTGGTAGTCTAAATAGTGCTGTGTTTTGTCCCCTGAAAGCTGGCTATTTGATAAAAGCATGCATGCATGGCTGGGGCCGGCAGGGGGAAAGAAAAGGCGAGTTTGAACCCCTATTTTGCAGGAGGAGGAGGGGAAGGGGGACATTCTCAGGTCTAATTGCCATTTCTCTCAATTTTTTTTCTTCTTTTTTTTCCTCCCCTCCTCGCTTCTTTTCTTCTCCAGGCTCCAGCACCAAGCAATAGGACCGACCGGTATGAGGTCCCTCTCAGAGGCCGGCCTCACCCCTCACAGCTCGGCAGAGTCGCCTTCAACCGCGGCCAGTCCCACCACCAGCGTTTCCAGTATGACAGAGAGAGTTGATACTGGGACGTCCATCCTGTCCGTCACATCCAGTGACTCGGAGTGCGATGTATGATACGGAGAAAAAAAACACACACAAAAACAAACAAAAAGAGAAATATTTACAGGGAAAATGGACCTGAGAGGAAGAAAAAAAGACTTATGAAATATCGCGGATGAAAAAAGGACCGATTGATATAAATATTAAAATAAAAAAAAGAGATAAAAGCACGTCGTTTTTTTTTTTTATTAAAAAGCGCTTTCAAAAGGACCCACGCCTCCCCCTCCTCTTCATACCCCCACACCACCACCACCACTACTACTAGACTACTTGCATGATGTTTTTTTTTTATTTTGTAATCAGGGAAAATAACCTGAACGCAAGATTTTCCATCAGGAACATCGATCAGAGGGAATAAAAACAGATCGTCTTGGTGTCTTCGTCGCTTTTTTTCCCATCTCCGTTTTTAGTCCAAGTGATGATGATGATGATGATGATGATGATGATGATGATGACGGTGAAGCAGCCGCCATGCAGACAAGATGCAATCCTGTTTTTACTTTGTGTTCATCAGACAATCATTTTAAGTCGTAAGCACCTTTTTTAATACACTTCTGTCACTGCCTGTGTGGGGTACATGGTCAAAAAAATGTCGAACGGAATCGTTTATGACTGTATCAGATTTTTATTTTTATTTTCAAAATTTTATATTGAATTATGTATATCTCAAATAATGCGATCATTCTCCCGGTCTGTATTATACGTGTAGAAATATGCTTGTACATAATTATTGCTCTCCCCCGTCTCATCCTCTTTTCTATCCCTTCCTCACTTTTCTTGACTTGGTGTTCCTACATAAAATATTTGTCAAAACTTACAACTGAAGTGCTCTAGGCGTTTTTGTTGTTTTTGGTTGTTTTTTTGGGGGGGGGTTGTTGATAATGGCATATGTTACCAGTCACATTTAAAATATATATATATGAAAAGTGGAAGAGCTTATAACTATATTTATTCAAGTCTACAGGCTGCCCCCATCCTTTCCTCCTCTGCCGCCCCAGGGTCGCTCAAAGCGCTTATTTACATTAGCCCATTCAATGTTTCTGTCTGGCGTGGTTATTATGTTAACGCGCCATACATTTCTAAATCAAATACAGTATTCAATTTGCTATACCTCTTTGCATGATGTCTGTTCCTCCATCCGATTACGGATAAGGACATTGATAAGTGGCTAAACACATGTTCATATTGGATCATTATTGGATTGTGGAAGCATTAATGCTCATCATGGCTTATGGCATAGGTTGTGTAGTCAGAGGGCTGAACTCACCTAAAATGAGTTTAGTTTTATTTCGGCAACAGAGTTAACCCGGGTTTAAAAGACTTCATTACAGTGAGGTAAATTGTTTGGTCTTTTAAAGTAGCAAAACGCAATTGAATTCAAATATTTTAGCCTTGGTTTTATTTTCCAGAAGAAGTTATACTTAAGCTTTTCCTTGTTTTGTCGTCACACCCGTGTTCAAACCCATGTGATATAGGTAAAATCAGCCTATATGACTGCCTCAGTATCCTACACAAATTCTGGCAAATGTCAACGTCATGCAGCACTTAAAAATGTGAGTGCTATTTCCCCTTTTGTTTACCGTTGCTAGTGAATACAGAAATTAAGTAAACGCGCCATTAAATGGGCTAATCACGATGGGACTCCTCCCCTGTCCCAATCTCCCATTGTGGCCCGCTGAAAAGAGCTTTTCTTCCACGGACGAGAACCATTTCCCCCTCCAAAAAAGGCTTTCTCTCCTGCAGTCCCTTTCCATCTAAATCCCCAACCAATTATGCTGCAGACCAGGGCAGAACTGCTATAGGACACTGTTGCAGGAGCTATAGTTTTGGTGGAAACACTTGCGCAAAGATTTTCTGCTTCCTAGAAGCAGCGCCGAGGATCTCCCCATGTAAACACGGCCCCTTATTAACTGCAGGCAACTCTGTAATACGCGTCGAGTCCCTGTGAGAGTTGCAGTCATGTCTTTAGCAAGAGAAAGTAGGACAGGCGCTGCTGTTTGGCTCAGGGAGACCGCAGGACTTTCAGAAAGTGGGGACTGGCGTAAAAGCCACGGCGGCGACATCAACAATGTGAACAGTGTTGGTCATGACAGATTTCTCCCTGAACTTTGATTTGAAGAAGAACCCTGAAACTGAAGCGTTGCTGTTTCCAACAAGTGTAACTCTGGTTCTTTAGCCCTGCTGTGGTGACAGGGGTGAACAGGATGTTTGGATATTTTTCCAGGAGGTTTGGTGATTTTGTGCAAAGTCTGAAAGCTGAAATGTAAAATATGGGCGGTATGAGTGTGTGCAGAAGTGCGCAAAAGAAGAAGCTGGAATGGGGTATTTAACATTTAGGAGAGAGTGAGGGAAACCAATTCGCATACAAAAACGTTCTTAATTATATTATTTTAATTCGTTGATCTAATGGCTATAAATGACTAACAAAGGAGGCCGTGCGCACGAGCGTGTGAGAAACTAAACATTAATCATGGATCACAAAAATAGGTGTCATATGTACAACACTTGATTTATTGTTGTAGAAGGAAATCTGCTGAATCTGAGCTGAACAACAAAAGTTGAAATTGTTATAAATAGTAAACTTTGTTGTAGATGCTCTAGGTCTGACTGCGGATTATGTTTATTTCTGCATAAATGTTACCAGTCTCCACTGGATGAAATGTGCGCATAAGCTATCTGCATGCATAAATCTCCCCCAGACGGATACCAATCAAAACACAAAAACAAGTGTGTCAAAAGCTCCAGCCACACGACTCAATAGGCCTGTGATCCTGAAATAAACGAGGCCATAATGCAGTCAAACGCAAAGCTCAGCTCCCTGCTGAAACAAACCATCTCCCGCCGCACTCATTGGCAGTCGATTGCAGATGAAGTAAATCTGTATCATATTTTAAACCCATTCCGGGTCTTAAATCGGCCTGCCAGAGACAGATAGGCCCTATCAAGAGCACCGAGGGGCCATGGCACCGCCGCACCACCAGACCCTTATCATACACCCCCCACCTCTCCATTTACGCACTCCACAAGTTTTATTGGCTGCGACAAGTCCCGGCTATGATTGAGATTAAATTAATCGTAAACTGAAGAGCATTTTTATCGGCAAAGGAGGACACGAGGATTAGGGCTATATCTGTGAGATGGAGCCACAGATAGGGACTCATGAATACAAAACAAGCGATGAATGGGCTTCATTTGCGCAACGTTACGTTCATTAAACCCACGGCTCTGGAAACACAGTGTAAATATGCAGATATAAACTTAACTTACTCGAGAAAAAAAAAACAACAATACAAGCGACGTGTTTGTTTGGAATAATGTGTAAAAGAAAAGTCAGCAAACTTTCTCGCCTTTTACACCCCTTCATGGCTCCGTTGCGCATGCACTTTAAAAACAAAAATAGAACTATATTTATAATGGATTTCCATAAATGCTCCAGCAACCTATGCGTTAAAGAAAATAATAGGATTTCCACGTTTGTATATGATCCCAGAGAAACACACACAAAAAAAATCTATTTTAATTAAATATCACAATGATTTTCCATTAGAGCATGTTTAACCATGTAAATGAGACGCATGTACAGGTACATGACTGTCCGTGCTGTTAACATATGTGGGCCAGAGTGGCAGCAGAAAAAAAAAAAAAGTGCTGGAAGTGTGAGTCTATCTGTTGCTGGCTGGGGTCATTAACAGTGGGGGAGCTCTTGTTCGTGATCTGTCAACTCAAATATGGATCACAAGACAAAGGAACTTAGCGAGGAGTAATCTCTGTGTGTGATACTTTCATGAGAGTAAACGAGAATGTGAGACAAGTGCGGCAACAATGGAGACTCGCATGTTTTTCTGTTTTCGCTCTGTGAAGTTGTTTTCTATTTATCTGTGCAAGTGCGTCTGTCAAACAAGATTTGCGTGAACATCAAGCTGAACGTCAACAGCATAAAGACGATTAATCTTTTCTTTATTTTTTATACGGCTCCCAGATTTGAAGTCACGGTGATTTAAAGTGTCTTTAAGAGGAGAAAAGCACAAGCGGATGCTCCTCTGAAAAACAGAACTTATTTGTGTCTGGAGTGATGGCTGTTTGCGTCGTGATGATCCCCTCAGAGGTCATAGTTTACCTTCCTTTTCATTCCACAACATCTTGTATTTCGAAGTTAATGCAGGGACTGTCAATCCAACTATAGGGAACAAGAGAAAGGAGGGTGGGGGAGTGGGCTGGGTGGGTAGGTGGGTGGGTGGGGGGGGCTATTAGGCCGGAGTCTGGCGGTGAGAAATACTTGCCCTGCCCTGTTTTTTCTCGGATTTCACCAGTTAACTGAACACAACTTTCCTATTGGTGTGTATTCATGCAGCACCCAAAGAGCACCAGTTTCCCTTTAGCCTCACCAGCGCGGCTGTCAGTGCAGGAATGAGCGGGGCCCTTTGGACTAAACTTTCTGCTCCCTCTCTCTCCTTTCTTCAATAGGTAAGACACAGGGCTGCAGCATTCCTCTTGACTGAGTGGTAATTTATACTAAGTTTTATGACCAAGAGCTGCCATTCTGTATTTTAGACGCAGAGCTACTGTTCTCCTTTTCTGGCTTAGGCTATTATGTGAAATAGCCCACTAGCAGCAATTAGCCACCCCTGTAAAGGCCAGAACAACCGTGTCTGCATTAATTACACATTATATGTTCACCTCACCATCAACCTTAAATCACAACTATCCTGCAACACATTTTAGAGGAATTACAGCAAATAGCTACAGTTTTTTTTCTTACACGAGGAAAATAAAAATGCCACAAAAACTCAATAAACACAGTTGGAATTATATTTAAAAATGGCTATATGGTAGTAGTGATGTGTGGTTATCGGGTCAGGTCGACACTTTTACAATTTGGTGTGGCTGCAAGCAGGTAAACGTCGTGAAATGTGTGACATTTTGACTTAATGTAATTTCGATTACGCGTGTCCGTTGCGTAAATTGTTGCGTTTTTACCGATGCCAGGCGCCATGCACCTGCTGCTTGTTGTCAACTGATCAACTCCCCCAACCCCACCACACGCGCAGTCTCTCCTACACACACACACACACACACACACACA